GTGCAAATTTGCAGTTCAAGAACTCACAAAATCAAAAACCCACTTAGCTAATATGGTTCTTAGGCCCTTTTTTTTCCTCACCCCTTACCAAAATAACCAATAAAAAATTGGTTCTTTGAAGATAAAGGGTGAAGGGTAGAGAAAAGATCAAGAACTTTATTTGTGTTGCAGTAGTAGCCTATAAAAAATTTCACATGGGGGTATTTATAGCAGTTTGAGTTTGAGGTATGAGGTTTTACAACAAATCAATTGGACGGAAAATGGCTGCTTGGACCAAGTGTGGATAGGATTTTGCGGACCCCTTGCTGCTATACTTGCAGACTTTTTGTGGTCAATTTGTAATTTGTCTATTTCCTTGGTTCATTAGAGTTCACAAATTTTTTGAAAAGTTCAAATATTACTAATATTTTCTTTTTTTATAAACGTGGCGTCGGCCAGTTTGCATATACCTTGACTATTTCTCGTACAAATATGATCAATTTGCCAATTTTTAGAGCACCTTTTAATTGGCACCATGTAGCTAATTTTAAAAGCCCGGTTTAAAATATATTAAATTTTTTAAAAATTATATAATATTTAACTAAGATTTGACAAATGTCACACTATTCCTCCTCCTCTTTCTCGTTCTTATTTCGACCTTCTACTCACACCCAAAAATTTTAAAATATCATAACCTAATCTCACACCCAAAAATTTAAAGTTTAAATTGCACAGTTTGAAATTTGAAGAGACAGTTAAATTTAAAAACTTTATAAATTTTGACATGTTTTAAATACCTAAAAGTGGTTATTAGTACACTTTGCCCTATTTCACGAGCTTCAGATCGGGCAAACTACTCCCACCAACAATTAGGCATATGACAATCACCTAAAAAATGTTGTCTGTGATAGGATTTTAACCTAATTTTTCATATGACTCACTTTGCTAATTAGTAGACCACACTCTTGAATGCGGATAAATGCTAACGAATGGATTACTAGTAGTAACATCTAGCAGTAACATATTTGCCGTGTTAAAAAGTATTTTATAAGAAATATTTAAGAGTTTTATCAAGGTAAATATTGTTAAAATTTAAAAACTATCAAGCTATATTTTTCTACTAATTTGTTGCAAATTCATATTCTTAAACAAGTATTGAAAAAAGAAATTATTGATATATCTTATTATATACCTTTTTTTTCTGGTTACTATATACTTATCATACTTGGAATTGTAACGTATTAGAACCTCTAATCATAATGAGAAATAAGAAATTTGTAAAAGTGCAGATTAACACGAGTCAATCAAAGATATAATATTCTATGTCATCTTCCCAACTTTCTATCTTTCTCCAAATTGCTAGGAACATGAGTTTATTTGTCTACCAAATTTTGACTCTTTGTTTATGCTAACACATTGACGTTTCGGCCAACTTGCACACACCTATTAATTTTTCGGATATTTATGATGTCTCTCACTAGTACGAGCACTAAATAATTTTATCTATAAAGACTTACGTTAATAAAAAATTACCTAGTATCATCTTTCGACTCTGTTAAAATTTGAACCTTAATTGAATAGTTAACACATCAATTTGAGTTACTTTATGGTGGTGTTTCCATGATACATTATTAGAATCATGATTCATTAAACAAACATTTATCGTGTGCTCAACACATTTATAATTGTTAGATATTCTCATTCAATTGACAATAAGTTTTACACCACTAAACTATGAAATGCTCAATATTGTTAGGGCTCTAGCTCTAGTTGTGGACGTGTCGGTGTTATATGTTTAAATAATCATTTCATATTGAGTCTTTAATGTATTCTATCTTTAACATGGAAAATATCGTTCCTATTGACTTAAATATTTGAAGTACAAGTGTAAATCGCCTTTTACATCCACTGTAAAATTTTACTTATACCAATTCTTGTGTACGTAGTACACTCCCTTTTGCTATTGGTAAAAAGCCAAACCCTTTTTTCTCTAGGTTAAAAAAATCAAACAACGCCCTACTTTTGAATATGGCTTCTCCTATAGTAGCTTCGGTAAAAGAGAGGGATATTGTGTCCTACAATGCCCTATTCTTGTTGCTAATACTGTTTAATTACGATTTTCTAAAAAAACAACTCTCAAATGATTGAGTTCGAGGTAGTATGTTTTTTTTTAAAATACAAATCCAACTTCTATCTTGCGTCCATATTTTGTCCTACTCGAAGTAATAAATCTATCAAAGCGCGATTACCCTCAACAAGACCAACAACTTTATTAGAAGTGGTTGCTTCAAATAACTCATATGAAATGAATATTTATAGGTATGTTCTCAAAATTAGATATGTTATGTTCCAACTAGTAGCGCAATCATACTCCAACCTTTTATTATAAGAATTATGCATCAACCATATTAAAAAGCTGAATAGTTGAAAATCTTTTTCTTCTAGTAATCCTAATGTGATTTTACCTTTTACATTTGGCTAAATCTACTTATGAATATTTTTTAAAGAAATCCTGTAGCCGTATAAAGCACATACAGGTATAAAAGTGATATATACATATGTAGTCTTTAAAATATTAAATATTTTGTGTTAATATCTAGAAAAAGTTGACAAAATGACCCCTATATGTCTAGTTTCGTTCCCTAAAAATGAATAATAACCAGAATATGCTAGTGGTATCACTATACGTTGCAATAATCAGTGATGCTACTAATACGTTATTATTTGTGCCCAAATGAAAGTATTTATTATTTGATAATTAGTATTCTTTTCTCATTCTTATAAGATTGCATAATTAGGACCATTTTTGGCAATTATGAATGGTAAAGTAGGCTAGTAAGTGCTTGTTTTCTTTCCTAAATGTGTACACAGATGATAATGTAAAATGTTAATATTGGAACTTTGCTTGAGGTAATAAAAGTTCCCTATTCCTTGAAAATAAATCTACGACATGAAATAGCTCGCAAGGAAAGGGAAAATAGGAAGAAAAGGCTCATTTTGTATCAATTTCCTAGTGTAAAATTTTTAGATTTTGGATCCAAGGAGGTGGGTTAGTAATAAATGATGTCGGATGAAAAATAATAGAGGATTAAGGTTCAAATTTCAATAAAAAAAATCTTTTAGGTGATTTTCTGTATTTGCCGAATATTTGGTGGACAAATTTACTCATACTACCTTACAACTAAAAGGTTACAAGTACGTGATCGAATAATTGAAGTGCATACAAAAGAGTTCATTAATGCTCGAAAAAGATAATACTCTAGTATTTACACAAGTGAACAAAAATAAAATATTCCTCAATATATCCTTACAAACTCGTCATGCTCTATTATTGTATCATAGGTTGTAACGTCATTGTGTCAAATAGTTACTAGGCCCGTTTGGACTAAAATTTGGTTGAAGTTTTTTTCAAAAAAAAATCATTTTTTTTCGAAATCAGCGTTTGTTCATAAAATTTTCAATTTTCAATTAAATATACATTTTGAAAAATTTCAAAAATTTGAATAACTCCAACTCCAAAAAGTTATTTTTCAAAATTTTCACTTAAATCACTCATAAAACTTCACAAACAACCCAAACTGAAATTTATGTTCAAACACAACTCTAAATTTCAAATACCATTTTCACTTGAACAAATTTTTCACCATTTTTTCGAATTTTACAATTCTTATGTCCAAACGCCTACTTAATGTATCTCTTTTTTCTTAGTTTCTCATTAGTATTTGATATTCGTTTCCGCCATTCTCACTAATATGGATTCGTGAAAATGACATCATGTAGCCATTTTTAAGCATGTTTTTAAAAATATATCCACAGTTTACAATATATTTAAAGATTAATCAATTTCGCTCAAATTTCAGGACACGACGTCCTGGAGTTTAAACCTCAAAATTCAAATTTCAGGACATCGTGTCCTAATGTTCGAAAATTGTGTCCTAGAGTTCGAATCTTATGTCCTAAACTTTAAATTAGTGGTTCAGAAATTCAGAACACTAAGTACTGAATTTCTAAATTCAGGATACTTAATCCTAAAGTTTGGGTGAATTGGCTAATCTTTAAATATATTATAAACTATGGATATATTTTAAATAGCGGTTTTAAAAGTGACTATTGCAGCACTTCGCCCTCTGGATTAACGTCACGAAGGCCCATTAAAAGAGGTGATGTTCTTCCATATCAAGATTTTTTTAATTAGAGAACTCAAACCCGAAATATCTAATTAAAGACGAGGTATATGACCCAACACAATCCTTCGTGTTAATCAATTTATCTTGATGCACTATATTAGTGGTGTTGCCACTTTAGTACCAAAAGTTTAGCATATGGCACCAAAGTATGTCCCACACTTCAAAAATAAAATTAAAAAAAATCCAGGCAAACAGATTTGTTTCATTCCCATTCACCCCGTCACATCAATTTATACCAAAAAGCTTAATTAGCAAAAGGCAATAACAAATGATATTTGATTACTAGCTTTTATTCGGTTCTAACTTATGTGGCACAATTCGGATATCAAGATTTTTTTTTTAATTTTTATCACAAATTCGAATATAAAGCCTTTGAAAATTTCGAATTAAAATTTATATAAAACTACTAAAATCATTAATAATTCAAAATGTTATGAAAAATTTATAGTAAAAAAAATTGACTCTAAAAGTTTAAATTGCATTAGATAAATTAGGACAGAAGAAATAGTGAACATCAATCATTTTGGAAGATTGATAATATTGTTTCATGGTCACAAAGTATACCTAAAATTAGGTAGGAACCATAGTTCCAGTACTAAATGAATATAAAAATGGAAGCTTTAAACACGAATTCGAATTAATAGATCTCAAAACGAATACTAACCCACGATTAAAAAAAAAAAAAAAAACAGAAAATAGAGACTTCGAATATGGATAAACTTAAAAAGATTATTTCCCATTTTATGACAAACTTCCAATTTCCAATATGATATATATATATCTGAAATAGGAGATAAAATTTTTCTTTCCCAAAGTCTACGTTTGCCTTTAGTTCTAAATTTGTCCTAAATGTATTCACGACGTACACGTTTTAAATAAAATCTGACGTGTCCACTGTCGATTTCAGATTTCTTCCTGTTTATTCGCTAGCCGATCTCTCAGCTTCTAAGCTTCTCTTCCTTTCCCTCACTTTTCTTCTTCAACAATTTTCATTTCAAATACACACAAGGAGAGAGATTCACAAAAATATACATACGCACACATATATATACATATATATATATATATATATATATATACGCACATATATTGTATATATATAAATTATACATATATAGATAGGTTTTTTGGAATTGAAAAATAAGCGGCAATGGCACTGCTAAGGAAATTGTTTTATAGGAAGCCGCCTGATGGACTATTGGAGATCTGCGAGAGAGTTTACGGTACGTTCTTATTTTTTTTTATTTTTTATGTTTTTGTTTTTTTGCTGGAGCTGTGTTGTTTTAATTAATGTGTGTTCTGGGAAATTCTGTAAATTTTGTGGCTTTGTTGAGATCGAGCTGGAATGTGTATAAAATTTACCAGTTTTTGAGTTTTTTGGTTCATAATTAAATTTGTGAAATATGTAATTATAATGCGGAAATGGAAACATATAGAACAGGATATTTATTGTTATTGCAATTGAGTAATTAGGTATTTAGGCGTTTAATACAATTAAGACTAGACTGCAGTTTGGAATTGATTAAGAATATTTATACAGTGTGGTAATAATTAATTTGAAGTAATGCAACACGTAGGGGGGCGAGTTCACTATCCACCGAATTTCCAGCCGCGCTTCAGCTGAAAAGGAGCTTTATTGTTATCGAAATTGCGGGAATAAGGTATTTTGGTCTTTAATACAGTTAAGACTAGATCAGTAGATTAACTATTTGTAGCTTGATTAAGAATGTTTCTAATGTATGCGACTAAGTTAATTTGAAGTATTGCAATACGTAGAGGGGTGGGTTCATTATCCACCGAGTTTTGAACCGTGTGCCAGCTGAAAAGGAGCTTTGTTGTTATTGAAATTGCGGAATAAGGTATTTTGGCCTTTAATACAATTAAGACTAGACTTTAGCTAGAGGCGGACCTAGTGCATTAGTTATGGGTATCCACTAAATAATTATTAAGAACAGATTCCGAACTTAGTAAATCAAGTGGGTTGTGGTAGAATTTCGAAGTCAAACCATAAAGTTCAAATCCTAGAACCGCCTCTGGCTCTTTTTTTTTTTTTTTTTTTTTTTTTTTTTTTTTTTGATTGATTAAGAATATTTCTAGTGTATGTTACTAGTTTAATTTGAATCACTGCAATACGGGAATGTTAAGTTGGAGTGGACGAGGTGAGTTATAGCACAATGCAAGTTTTCTTGCAATGAAGAAACTGTCTAAGATTTTAATTCAACTAAGCTGAAGGGCCAACTCAATGCCCTTTGTACTCTTGGGACTAGGAAAGTGATGTAATTATGTTAATGTTGTGATGACGATATCGAGTGCTGTCAATTTGACAATATTTGGCATGCTATCTGAGCTGAGTTGAAGCATAAGCAGCTTAACTGGCAGAGGAATCAGCTCAACTCTTTCGTCCAACATACTCAAGTATTATATAGGGATCTCATTGAGACATCGGAAAAATAAGAGGGAGAAAAATGTGTTAAGACAATCCAAAGCCTGCTTGTGGTTTGTTAGTATAATTAATGAAATATCTGATGTTACTTATAAAAAAAAAATGGAATTTCTAATGTTATGCTACTAACTCAGGATAGTGCTTTTGCAAAGTATGGACATTTAGTTCGAAGGGTGGTGGTGCTGGACAAGTAATGCATAAAAATAAGTACATGAGAAGCTGTCAGGAAACAACTTGGCAATCTTCCTTATAGTGTTTCAAACAGTACTGCGACAACAGAAACCAAATTTTTTTCTAAAAAAAGGAGAAAAACGGAACACTAATATGGCAAGAGAAAATGTGTTTATGTTTAGAGCTTGATATAATGTAGGAGGCCGACATTATTACAGCTGACTCATATCATANTGTAGGAGGCTGACATTATTACAGCTGACTCATATCATCTCTGTTTTATCAGCATAAAAGTAAAATCTTTGAGACTTTAAAATGGTAGTGCCTGTTGTATATCAGTTTCGCTAATAATTGCTTCTACTTTATATGCAGTGTTTGATTGCTGTTTCACCACTGATGTTTGGGAGGAAGAAAATTACAAAGGCTATGTAGGAGGTGTGATTAGTCAACTTCGGGATCATTACCCTGACGTTTCAATATTGGTTTTTAATTTTCGTGAAGGGGAATCACAGAGCCCAATGGCAAATACTCTGTCTGAGTATGATCTGACAATAATGGACTACCCTCGGCACTATGAGGGTTGTCCCTTGCTTTCAATGGAGGTGATACACCATTTTCTAAGATCCAGTGAAAGTTGGCTCTCACTTGGGCAGCAAAACGTGCTTTTAATGCATTGTGAACGGGGTGGTTGGCCAGTTTTGGCATTTATGTTGGCTGCATTATTGATATACAGGAAACATTACACTGGAGAGCAGAAGACTTTAGACATGATTTATAAGCAGGCTCCTCGTGAGCTTTTGTACTTGCTGCAGCCACTGAATCCAATTCCTTCTCAGCTAAGATACCTACAGTATGTAGCGAGGAGGAATGTGAACATGCAGTGGCCTCCACTGGATAGAGCACTCACTTTGGATTGCATCATTATTAGGGCGATACCTAATTTTGATGGCGAGGGTGGTTGCCGGCCTATATTTCGTATCTATGGACAGGATCCATTTCTAGTTTCTGATCGATCGCCAAAAATTTTGTTCTCAACTCCAAAGAAAAATAAAGTTGTCCGTCACTACAAGCAGGTAATATAGTTTATCCTATACTAAAAACATATGTTACTCACTAAGGGTTTCTGCTAACTTTGAGGAAGGGTATCTTTATTCTGTTTTGTTGATTAAACATGCTTGTTTCTAGGAATATAGACCTTGTCAACTTCATCTAAAGTTGAAAAAAACACGTGTAAATAATATGAAAATGAAGCAAGGAACATATGGGGAACTTATCTCTGATATTACAACTTATGGTCTATCAATGAGATCAATATGTTTGATTTGGAGCGGATCAGCTATCTAATATTTGTTTTTCCACAGCTTCACATCTTCCCGGAGGAGCAATTCTTCTTACGGTTTTTCCTGAGATGTTTGATTTATAGAGAATTGGACTATTTAACAAGTTGTTCTAATGAGGCTTCTGACATTTTGTTCGACCTGCATTCTTCTTATGGTTTTGCTCAAGTAGAATCTAGTTGAATTAGGTTGTACTTGGCCATGTTTATATGCACATGCTCGAAAATGCATGTACAAGTTATATCTGGGCTTTCTCCCTCTCCCCCTCTTTCCCATTCTTGTTGTGCGTAACTTCTTACTTAGGACACAGCTGACTATCAATCTGACATCTTTATAATGTCATTTCAGGCAGAATGTGAATTAGTTAAGATTGATATCAATTGCCATATTCAAGGAGATGTTGTATTGGAATGTATTTGTTTGCACGATGACCTGGAGCGGGAACAGATGATGTTTAGGACCATGTTTAATACAGCTTTTGTTAGGTCAAACATCTTGATACTTAATCGTGATGAACTTGATACTTTATGGGATGCTAAAGATCAATTTCCAAAAGACTTCAGAGCAGAGGTATCATTGTTCGTATAAAATGCATGTTTTTGTTTTGTTGATACTCTCCAGCTAGAAGCATATTGTAATTTTATGAAAGTTGTGCTCTGGATGTAGGTTCTTTTCTCAGAGATGGACACTGCTGCTTCTGTTCTTCCTGCAGATTTGTCCTGTTTTGAGGAGAAGGATGGCCTACCAGTGGAGGCATTTGCCAAAGTTCAGGAGATCTTTAACAGTGTAGATTGGGTAAGTCCGAAGGGAGCTGCTGCTCGTAATGTTATCCAACAAATAACCACATCAGGTCTGATCCAGGAAAAGTTGGAATCTACTCCTCCACAGTCTGTAGACACTGGCATGCTCGTCGATCAAGCAACTTTGGAGAAGCCTGGAGAGAGGAAGGGACCTGCACCACCGGACAATACTGCTAAGGGCTCGTCACCATTTATGTTGGAGCAGCAGTCGGTGTCATCCATCAAATTATCCTCCAAAGTACACCAAAGTGACCAACAGAAAGATGAATCTCAATTTATTGGGACCAAAAGTGAGATGAAGGTGTCAAAATTGCAGCCATCAATCCCTCTTTTAAAACCTTCTCCTCCTGACCTTAGTACAGAATCTAGTGCTTCTTCTGTGTCATCACAACCATCTCCACGTGTTCTGCCAACGTCAGAACGTCCTACACTTATAAAAGAGTTGGATCCTCATATACCAGAATGTGGTAAGCTGAATACCTTTCCTACCCTACCTGAAACCAAGACTCCGCCGTTTAAGACCAGTATTCCAACTCCACCTCCATCCTCACCCTTACCTGGAAAGGATCAGGGTGTTAGTACTGGACTATCTCTATCTCCACTTACTCCTCCCGTGAAAGATAAAATAGTCACTGCCACTGTACCTTTTGCCCAGGCTACTCCACCCAGAACCCAAGGCCCTCTAATTGAATCCTCCAAGGATGAAAGACCTACTATGTCTCAACCTGATACATCTCTACTTCCTCTAACAGCGCAGCAGCCAGCTGATGAAGCTGCTAAAAGGGAATCTGCTCCACCTCCTCATTGTACTGGATTATCTCTATCTCCTCCATCAGTGGCACCAGCACCGCACACTCCTCCCGTGAAGGATAAATTAGTCACAGGAATTGTACCTTCTGCATCCCAAGCTACTCCACCCAGAGGTCCTCCAATTGTATCATTGAAGGATGACAGACCTACTATGCCTCAACCTGATACATCTCTACTTCCTGTAACAACACAGCGGCCAGCTGATGAAGCTGCTAAAAGGGAACCTATTCCACCTCCTCATCCTTCTGGAAGTTGTCCTCCATCCCTAGCTCCTTCTCCTAGTTCCTCTTCTCCATCAGCTGCCGTTCCCTTTGTCAAACCTGTAGAACAAACAGTCATCCATAGGAGTAAAGTTTCACAGCCGCCACCACCACCGCCACCTCTACAACATTCAACCCCTCTATTGAATGATAATGTTGCTTCTGTTGGTGGATCACCTCTACCACCTGCTCCTCCTACCCCACCTTTGAAGGAACATTCAGCTTTCAGAGGTGTTCCATCACCTCCACCACCGCCTTCTCCTCGAGATCCATGCCCGTTACTTGTCACCCCAGTATTGAACAAGAATTCTGCCTGTACCAGTGGGCTGCTTGAACTAGTTCCAACTTTGAAGGAAAGTTTAGCTTTTAGAGATAAGCCACTACCACCTCCACCTCCACCTCCACCTCCACCTACAACTCCATGCCAATTGACTACAACCCCAATATTAAACGCAAATTCTGGCTCTATTACTGGACCGCCTCCGCCTCCACCTCCACCTACGCCACCTTTGAAGGAAAAAGTAGTTTTCAGTGGTGGAGTGCCACCACCCCCATGCCAGTTGACTACAACCCCAATATTGAACGCAAATTCTGCCTCTATTGGTGGATCGCCTCAACCTCCACCTCCACCCACTCCACCTTTGAAGGAAAAAGTTGTTTCCCAAAGTGGAGTACGACCACCTCCCCCTCCACCTCTTCCTGGGCAACCTATGAAGGAGAGCTCCTCGTTTAGTGGTGGACCCTCTCCACCACCACCCCCTCCGTTGCCTGCTGCAGCTTCTAAGCCTGCGAATATATCTGCAGTGCCTCCTCCTCCTCCTCCTCCTGCATTGGGTTCTCCACAGAATGTTCCTTCCGCTCCCCCTCCTCCAGTCCCTTCTCTTAAGGCAGATCTAAAACCAGGTTCTGGTCTGACACAGTCAGCATCAAAATGTAGTAATCTCCCTTCTTCTCCATCTCCGCCCCCACCTTCTGCTCCTCCGCCTGGACTAAAGGGCCGAGGACCATTATCTCGTACCATGAATTCAAGAAGCCAGTCATCGAAGAAACTGAAGCCATTACATTGGTTAAAGATATCTAGAGCAGTCTCAGGAAGCTTGTGGGCGGAGGCTCAAAAATGTAGTGATGCTCCCAAGTAGGTGCTAACTCTGAGTGTGAAAGTAGCCATCAGTCAATCATTTTTGTGTTTTTAGATTCTTTCAGATACAACGTCTCATGTCATTCGATTTCTGTTTGATAGGGCACCAGAGATTGATATATCAGAGCTTGAATCTCTGTTTTCAGCTGCAGTTCCAACTTCAGGACAAGGTGGTTCAGGAGGGAAAAGGAATTCGAGGACCTCAATGGGGCAGAAGCCAGAGAAAGTGCAGCTGGTAATCATTTATTTCTGCATGCAATCTGAGGTTCCTTAGAAATATACCCGCAAAGTTTCCCTGAATTCATTTTATGTCGCTGAAGTCATTTGCACTGTTCCTGGTGTTCCATTGTTTGACATAATTCTCAAAGTCTTAAATAATACGAACAGTCTGATTCTAATATATGCACTTTCTGATCATGGTCTTGTACTTCGTTATTTTCCTTTAGTGCATCTCGTTCCCAATCCTCTTTCTTGACACTATTCTGTTCTTTCAAGTGGTTCTTTTTTAGTTCAGCTAGTTTTCAGCTTAAGAAAATTTGTTTCTGGAAGGGTTTCTGGTATGAAATGCTGGCTGAAATCCGGTGGAGTTTCATTCCTAAGAACCTAAGTTTGTAAAAGGAGGAGCACAATGCTGACGTGTTGTTGTGACGTCTCCTATCACTAGGCATGCTTGCTCCCAATGATCCTTATTTCCTAATGTGACATCACTGATATATATAATATTTATATAGGGCCCCCAGGGCCTAGCTCAAGTGGCAAAGGGTGGTGGATTTGTGTCTTAGGTCACAGGTTCAAGCCCCCACACCATGCAAAGCAAAGCCTGGTATTTAAGTGGAGAAGGGTAGAGGGGCGGGCCCATTATCCACCAAGTTTCGAAGGCTGCGGTTGGTCCAAAGGATCGGCCCCAGACGGATTTCTCGGTCATCAAAAAAATAAATAAATATTTATATAGGAGTGTGATACTGGTAACTTAAAATCATACTTAAATTTTCCATACTATCATAAATATTAGTTCCACAATGAACCATGGTTGGATTGTCAAGAATGCCAAATCTGAAAGCTGTTAGATGTTTATGTGATGTGCATGTTGTTATTCATTTAGAACTGTGCCTAAAATTATTGAATTAACACAAAATTAAAGACACTAGGAATAGTAGCTGCATTAGGATGCCAAACCTTATGGCAGTTAGGCCCTTTCTTTAAAAGAAAATTATTGGAAAAGAGGAACTCCCTAAATCATCATACTGAGGCAGCCCTGTTATTGGATTATAACTCTATGATTTTTATTCACATTGTTCGAATCAAGGGTCAATATTTCATATTCATAATGGAGGCCGCTTGTTCGTTAGATATCGATTGTGTAATTTTATCAAATTATTTAAATCAAGGGTCAGTAAAATATATGCTATTGTTGCATCCAAGGGTGTGGCTTAGTGGTCAACGAAGTGGGAGGTGAACTATCTCAGGTTCAAATCCCAGCGGATGCAAAAAACAGTAGGTGATTTCTTTCTATCTGTTAAGCCTCGGTGGATAGAGTTAACCGATACCTGTATTGGTGGAAGATCCACAGGTAGCCCGTGGGGTAGTCGAGGTATGCGCAAGCTAGCCCGGAGACCACCATCATTTAAAAAGAAAGCTATTGCTTTTAACAAATATTTACATTGTATCTGTACCTTAAAAAACCTAGTTAATAAATTCCTTTTCTTATGCCAGTAGATTGGGATCTTTTACAGTTATATATCCATGCTAGTTGGACAAACAATATCTTTTAATTCTGCTTCCCAAGTCTGTTTTCCACAAATTATCTAAGTTTTCTTCTTAGTCAAGGATTCAGTGAAAATCCTTCTTTTCACGAGTAACATCTCATATAACCCATCCGCACCTGTTACTCGTATAGCTTTGTGGAAGCCACTGCCTTTTCTCGCTTCACATATAGCTGTGGAGGAAAGATGGAACTGTGGCATTATTTCAGCTCTTCCAAGTTTTAAGAGAGATTTTACCTGAATTCTATTTTGGCAGGTTGATCATAGACGAGCTTATAATTGTGAAATCATGCTTTCTAAGGTGAAAATACCACTGCATGACATGCTGGTAAGCTGTACTCATATACAAGTGGCTTTCTCTTTGAATAATCTGGTTATTCTAGAATATAATCTCTGACCTATAGCTGGTTGTACCAAATGTTCAACTTCATCTCTGCCATATTATCTTGAGTACTTATTTATCCACCTCTTTATACCTGCAATAGGGTGGCACTATTATCACAATGATTCACTTGATATTTCAAATTCTAAAATTTAAAGCACGTTACTTGTCCCATGATTTTATAGCTGCATGGACTCTCCAAAATAGATGCCGCATCCGTGTCGGATCCTCCAAAAATACACTATTTTTTGAAGGATCCGACACGCACCCATCGATATTTTTGGAGAGTCCGAGCAACATAGGCTGCCAGTGTTTGATTGATTTTTGTGCTCCTAATAAGAAATTACGGTAAATCTTTTCCCATTGTTCCAAGATCTTTTCATCTTTATAATTTCACTCCCTTCCTATTTTCTCCATTATTGTGTTAAACTACCTCTCAGAAATAGGATTGACAATCACATTGTGGACCTTATTGGTGATTTTCTCGCGAGATGTTCAATTTCTGAATAAACCTCTGTAATAACAATATTCACGCTTAAATGGGGGCTTACAATTGATTTGGACTCTCTACTGCTTATTGTATTGGTTAAAAACTCACGCTTTTTACTATCCTAAGACCACACTTTATTGTATATAACCAATGTTCCCTGCTGAGTTAAATATAATCTGATATTTAAAGAAAGCAAAACTATTCTAGTGTCACCTATCCGAAAATAAAAGGTATTTGTACTTCCAAGTGTTGAATCTTGTAATCACAAATTCTGGTCCTGTTTGTGCACCTTTTGCATGTCAGATGCTTTTCTGACTTTTAACCTCCTCCACCCGTCTTCCTGTTATCTTTCTTTGTGATGTTCCCTGGACCATATACTCATGCATATATTATACTGAAACGTGATTATTTCCATGAATGTTGTACACTCATATTTTTATATTTATACACTCTCTCACTCACTCACTCTCTTTCTCTCACACACACACACAAATGTCAATGTGTGTGTGTAATGTTTTGTTAAAAGTTGAATTATCCTTCTAATTGGTAGCTACCACTTTTAATAATTTCAACAGAGCTCAGTGCTTGCACTGGAAGATTCAGCATTAGATGTGGATCAGGTGGAGAATCTGATTAAGTTTTGCCCGACTAAGGAGGAGATGGAAACTCTGAAGGTGAAAGATCTGTTTGAGAAAAAAAAGGGGGAACCTTATAACTCACTGTATATAGGACAATTGTTAACAACCTTGTTCTGTTGAACATTTCTGTTTCAGGGTTATAAAGGAGAGAAGGAGAAGTTGGGTCGATGCGAACAGGTCTGTCCATTGTGAATTAACGTTATTTTGGTTTACTGCCCCATTTTCTCCTGCATGGAGTTGATTGGCCCATTTATGTAATGACATCTAATTCTAAGACCTATTCGTTGTCACAGTTCATGTTAGAGTTGATGCAAGTACCACGAATAGAGTCCAAGCTGCGAGTTTTTTCGTTTAAGATTCAGTTTGAATCTCAGGTGAGAAGATGGCACATCTGCTGCCTCCTTGCTGCACTGGTAAAGGTTCGCTCGCTGACGGCGTATTTGTTCTGCTTTAATTTCAGGTTTCTGAGCTAAGGAAGAGTCTGAATATTGTGAATTCGGCAGCTGATCAGGCACATTTTCTTTTGTTTATTCTTTTTCTAACTATTGATGTTTTACACCTTTTAGAAAAGACTATGGATTGCTTTCTTGACACTGTCCTTGATTTCATCTTTCCTTTGATGTTGTAATCAGATCAAAGGTTCATCAAAATTGAAAAGGATTATGCAGACAATTCTCTCTCTCGGGAATGCTTTGAACCAGGGAACCGCCAGAGGTTGGGTTAACAATCTCTTTCCGTTCAAGCATTTATCTTGCTATTGATTTCTTCACTGTTACCTCTTTTTTTCTCTGTTGGAGTGAGTTGAAGA